TAATTGTTTTCAGATAATTACTTCACGAGTTGTTGCTCTTAATCAGATTTTAGTGTATTATAAATGTTTCATTACCGAAAAAAGTAAAAATATGCGACAACTCTTGTTGACTGCCCGGACGATTTACAGTTGTGGGCGTATGTTTCGTTGCCTTGCAACCTATCTTATATATTATTATTAACATATTATGCAGGTAATAGGACGGACATAACTATATTCCATAAACAAAACCAACAATCGTTCATTCATTCATTCATTCCATAAAAATAAAGAAATTTACAAACTGTACTGTACTGAATGACCACCTTCAATAAAACACTTATTCCGTTGGTTTCATCAAAGCACTTTCTTAATAGTAATACTATGTGTATAAACGTGAAAAGAATTCAGTCAGCAATAATTACGTCACGTCTAGTATCACACATTTATTGGGGTCTATTTAAATGATGACTTGTCATTTCCGTCTACTTCAAAGAAACCGCAGTAGGATCAAAGGGTCCGTTTTTTCTGCCATTTAGTTGGGTGAGAGGTGAATGAAGGGAACATGTAAGCAGATAATCAAATGAAACCAAGTAAGCTGTCTGGGATAAGTCTAGTTGTAGTAGAAACGGAAATGCGGTCTACGATATACGACTTTAAATCTCTCCACTAGAGTAGATAATTCTTTTTGTGAAAAAAAACCAAAAAACGTTACAATAGACATAGTGTTTTATTTATTTCTTGTGATAATAATTAAAAATAACTTGAAACGATATGGATTTATTTTTTACTTACAAACACGGTAAGCATTTCTTTCATTGTATTTTATTACTTGACGATAAACATGTGGTAGTAAATATATCAACTCTTTACACGTGCTGTTTAACTAAATAACTATAATATAATGAAATTACGGTCAATATTCACAATAATTCACGGCCGATATACCGAAGTTGTAACTGATGATCCTTACATTTTATTTAACAAACATCGTGGGAATCGTTAGGAATGCTAATTATATATTTTTTTTTTTATCACGGGAATATCTACGACCGATTACGGAATATACTGTCTCATTATTATTATTGTCGACCATTTATCAATGAAGTAGCTTATTGCTTATTAGCCCCCATAATTGTCGATCGTTAATACATGTATCTTTTTTAAAAAAAAACCATGCTATAATATTCGGGCGACTGGTTTATATCATGCTGTATTTCTTAGACAACTATTGATTTCCCGAAACTTGAACCGGTTTGTTGGTAAAACCGAACCGACTCCGACTAAACCGACTAATCGTCACACCCCTACCCTTAAATAAAAATGGCGCAAATACAAAACGGATATAAAAAAAACCCAAAAAACTAAGCTCGACATATTTTGCGCCTGTAGTAGGAGCATTCACCTTCATTGATAAGATTTGTAGAAATTAAGATTTTTCCTTGGGAAAAGACTTCCCAACCCGTCAAAATTTAAATTTTAGGCAAAATTACGTCACTTCCGGTGCAGACAGAAAACTTTATAGGTAGAAACAAGTTGAGAATTTGCACCAAGCAATATATGAGCTTTTGTTTTATACAAATCAGGCAATAAATAATTAATTTAGAACCCATAAACTGTAATAAAAATGCGAAAAGTCTTAAAAAGTGATCCTGACGAAATTGGTTATTTCTTTGCAAGAGAAGATGCTAGAAGCTTTTTTTTTGACATATTTATGATCGTATTGATCCAATCTATATTTCCATTGGAATGAAATATTATAATGTTAAGCGAATACTAAATATAACTCATTTCAAAAAAAATATTTGTTTTGAAGGCTAAAAATACAGTTTTTGCTAAAATGACATTACTTCCGGTGAGAATGAAAATGTTAAATTAGTTTTATGAAATCTGAAATGGCATAAGGCATCACGTGGTAAAAAATTTATGAAAATCAAATAAAAATTGACACTGTAATAGACCAAAAACCTTCAAAAGTGACTAGTAGAAAATCGTCTATTTCTCTGCAACCTTACAAGTTAGAACCCATTTTGTGCTATCTGTATGGTTGTATGGGTTCATTCTATTTGTTGATTGAAATTAAATATCATACTTTTCAACAAATAACATATACGACTCATTTGAAAAAAATATCGGTTTTGAAGGCTAAAATTCAGTTTTTGCCCAAATGACATCACTTCCGGTGACAGTAAAGGTGTTAAAATGGTTTAATCTAGTCAAACGTGGCATTAGGCATCAAATGGTGAAAGAAAATTGAATAATAATTGATTCTTGTACAGGCAAAATAACACGAAATGTGGCTCATGCAAAACTACTTATTTCTCGGCAACTCCTGATATTACAAACTAATTTTGACATACATTCTCTTTGTATGGGTTATTGCTACGAGGTTATGAAAGTTACGATGAAATATTTTGAAATATGAAGATGGTGGATGGGTTGTAAATAGCTTATTTTTACACCTTTTTTCGCCTTTGAATCTAAATGTTTTGTGCGCCTTTACAGGGCGCACCCTTTCAGTTAAATCAGATTTAAAAAAAATGATATTTGCTTTCAAAAAGTTGTACCGAAATGTCAAAATCTGTCAAAATTGTAGTTTTTGCTGAGTTTACGTCACTTCTGGTGCGACAGGAATCTTTACCGGTAACAAAAAAAATGACATTTTGGACCACGCAGCATATGAACTTTCTTTTGTACAAATGGAATAATAAATAATTAATCTAGGACTGAAAAACTGAATTAGCCATCGGCGGCCAAGGAAAATTACGGACACATAAAATGCTGACATTTTTAGTCAAATCGGATAACTCTTCAACCCTGGGTCAAATGCCATATAAAAATATTCATAAATAAAAACGTTTTTTATAAAATTTTAAATTTTCGCAATTTGGCAATTAATATCTACGAAGATTCGTCGACAATCAAAAATCAAAAGTAGCACAGCTATTTGCCTGGTCTCCAACTATGTCAAGATGCATCATATGTTAAAATTCGATGACTATTGTTAATACTCGTCCTTATTTTAAAAAAACGACAACTTTTGTGATTTTGGACATTTCTCATTGACACAGAATGCCCAAAATAGCTTTAATCTCTAAGTCACACCCACTTTCACAATAAAACCGAAGAAATCGTATCGATCCGACATGTAGTTTCTGAGATACAATCAAATTGGAAAAAAAAAATAATAATAAGAATAATCTTAACAAAAACAATAGTGTTTCACCCTAATTAAGTAACAGTGATGAAACTTGGTGTATAGTTTCATTACATCATTACCTTGACAAGTTCGATATGAGAATTTTCTGCTCAGGGTAGGCATTCATTGGGTGAATGCCTTGATCTAGTTTGATGATGAACATTGTCTGCTTATGGTAAGCAGAGATAAGCAATTTGATTAGTTGATGCTTTGGGACACAATAACTTTAGTTTTAATTAAGTGAGAGTGATGAAATTTGGTGTATAGTTTTATTACACCAATACCTTGACTAAGATCGATAATGAGCATTTTCTGCTCAGGGTAAGCAGAGCAATAAGAAATTTGATTGATCGAGACTTTGGAACACAATAACTCTCATTCTAATTGAGCTAGAATGTTCACACTTGGTGTAGGTGTTTATTAGGTGAATACCTTGATGGAGTTCGAAGATGAGAATTTTCTGCTTCGTATAAGCAGAGATAAGCAATTTGATTAGTTGATGCTTTGGGACACGATAACTTTAGTTCTGAGAGAGAGTGAGGACACTTGGCGTATAGTTTTATCACATCAATACCTTGACTTAAGTTTGATAATGAGCACCTTCTGCTCAGGGTAAGCAGAGCGATAAGCAATTTGATTGGTTGAGACTTTGGAACACAATACTCTTCTTCCAATTGAGGTAGAATGTTCAAACTTGGTGTAGGCGTTCATTAGGTGAATGCCTTGATCTAGTTTGATGATAAACATCGTCTGCTTACGGTAAGCAGAGATAAGCAATCTGATTGGTTGATGCTTTGGGGCACAATAACTTTGCTTATAATTAAGTGAGAGTGATGAAACTGAGTATAGATTCATTACATCATTACCATGACTTAAGTTAGTAGATGAGAATTTTCTGCTTGGGCTAAGATAAGCAATTTGATTGGTCAAGACCTTGGAACATAACAACTTTTCTTTTAATTGAAATAGAATGTTTAAACTTGATGTAGATGTTGATTAGGTGAATGTCTTGACCAAGTTCAATGATTAACATTTCAAGCTAAAGCTAAGCAAGTTCATTGGACAAGATAACTTTGATTCTATCTGATAGAGATGATGAAACTTAATGTATAGTTGATAATCTGTTTGATTGCATACTTTTGACAAAAAAAATTTGCAATAAATTAATACGCGTCATCTATTTATTTTGGGATTTTGGCGGGGGACATCAGCCTCACTGTTGGCTTGTTATTCTATGTAACATGTTTATTTTATGACCTAAAAAGTGGTATTGGTCTTTTACGGTACTGACAAAAAATGTTTTGTTTGTTGTATTTGTAGGCCTATAATTTTGAGACCTACCTTCCAATCTGTGTCATTAATTTAACAATATCAGCAAAGTTTATACTTACAAGATCAGACAAGTTATATTTATAGCACAGCTTTCATGAGTTAACAGGTTTAACCAGAGGCCGAAGTCAGAGGGGTTAAACCTGTTAACAAATGAAGCATGCTATAAATGACTTGTAACATTGACAACTGCTCAACATGCTAATTGTTATTGCACAGAAAACCCACCCCACTTCTCTATATGATTTCTACTAAAACTAGTGTAAACCAGCAAAAGCTTCCAAAACATTGAACATGTCTAGTTATTGCATGGTTAATCTCCACCCAATCTACTAGAGGCAAAACATCTGCTTATTCAACGAAACGAACAAAAGAAGATTTCTCATCCATGTTACAATTCATTTTAACCACCTTCAAGGATGGAAAGTCATTGCCTGACAATGCTTTGCTTTAAAATGGATGAAGATAACTATGTGATATTGTATTTTTTCAGATCACGGACACTCTCATTCAATTGGTGGTCATAGTCACGGTTTAGGTATGTTATATCTAATTTTGTAGGCATGTTTCACAAGTAATACTTACATTGACTACCACTTTACTGCAAATCACAGGAAGGAATAGGATGTGGCAATCTGTCACTTTAAACCTCTGCTGATTTGAGAGTATTGTTTTTTTATATGCCCCATTTTCCTGTGGACGTATATTGTCGTTGCCCCTGTCCGTCCATCCATCCATCCATCCACAATTTGTTTGTTGGATCACAATTCTTATCCGATTTTGACCAAACTTGAAATATAGGTTTATCTCCAAAAGATCTCGGTTCCTTGCGATATTGGCATTAAGGATGTAACGGTTCAAAAATTCTTGAACCGGTTAACTGGTCGTTAAAACCCCAACCGTAACCGGTTAACCCATAAAATTTTCTATCAAAATATTTGTTGCACCAAAATAAGACTTGATAATATATTCTTAAATTATTAGTATTACAGCTTTTAAGTTAACATTTGCAGTCAGTACAAATTCCATTCATTCATTCTTGATGTTTCATTTGTCCATCTTGCACGCTGACAGGTCACGTAGGCCCTATACCTTTGGATTTTTAAATACAAAATAAGTTTGATTATTCAACGTCAGCTAATTCCAAATAATTTACTACACGTGTTTCTATCACAAGCCATGCTGTATCGTATGGTACCAGTGACCCGTATATTACTGTATGTCAACTTTGACTCCATCGGCACAGCATCGCGCACTCGAGTGATAATATAAACAATTTTACTATTATATCCTCTCTATTTTAATATTATTTCATCACATCAAACTTGTTTCATTTCGAGACTTTGTTTATGGAGTGATGACGTTAATACTGTAAAACATTTAATTTGTCAACCAATTGAGATTTAATGCTGGACAGCGAGTGCTAATAAGGTATACATTACAAATGTCAAAACCTGAGCGGGAATTTACAGTCGTTAACTTCCCGAGACTTTTTACAAATGACAAGTGCTATTTAAAATATTTATGTGGTCTTAGTGAAAGAAAACAATGTTGTGGCTATCATTCCTGGGTTTGAAGGTCAGGTATCATATGAAAACGAATACCGATTAGTAATTTTTTGAACCAGTTCAACAGTGCAACCGAACCGTGACCGGTTAACCGAGTGACCGTTTACATCCTTAATTGGCATGCATCGGATCGAAACTTCATAGATTATGGTCCCTGATTGTAAGAAAAAAAATCGCGTTTTTAGCTTGTGGACACTCTTAGAGGTCACAATTTTTATCCAATTTAGATGAAAGAGAAAATGTATGTTTATAACCCAAAGATCTCAGTTCCTTTCGATATTTGCGCATATTGGACCACAACTTCCTGGATTATGACCTCTGATTGTACGAAAAGTCACGTTTCTAGCTTGCAGTCCCATCAAGATGTCACAATTTTTATCTGATTTAAGAAAATGTTCAAATATATAACTGTTACACCATAATGATGATCGAGTTTGAATTTCGTGAAAATCGGACAGAAACTGTAAAAGTATATATTACCAAGGTTGTGCGGAACCCTCTAGAGGTCAGAATTTTTATCTGATTTTGATGAAAATTAAAATGTATGTTTATATCCCACAGATTTCAATACCTTTTGATATTTGTGCATATTGGACCGTAAGTTCTTGGATTATGTCCGCTGATTGTGTCAATAAGGGACGTGTTTCACTGCTGGTACTTTTATGTCTTTCCACAGCTTTTGACACATCAGACCACCAAAAACTTATTGTCCAGTTTTGATTAGCAGTGTATAAATATCCATAGACAAGGCCTACAATTTTGGAAAAGTGTGATTGAAGTAAAGTCTATCTGTTGAATTTTAAAATATTATGCAAAGATTATTTCAGTCACACTATTTCAAAATCATTGTTATAAATATTTTGAGGTCTGCTTATTGCTGCGTATACTCTGTCATATGTTAACTGAGTAAGAAACGTAGTAGGCCTATTAGAATAATTTCGATGACATTTCATGGTTGATTCGTAGTTTGAACATTCAATATTCACAACTATGTCATTTGTTGACGTAACAGTTATTCACTCATCAGTGCTGATATCAATCAAGTAATAATTTATGTTTCGATGTATCGGAAGCAAACATCGATACTTGCAATGCATTGATGATACATTGGTAAATTTGACAGACATTACTACAGTAATTACAACAACGATCACTGTTGTTGATTGAAAATTCCTTGCCTCAGATCTCCGTTATAAATTCTGACAGGCAACAATTCTCTTTGGTTCAATTCTCTGCCGCTCACGCCAGACACGACAAGATCTCAATGTCAACAGTAAACCAAGCGACGTGATTTTTATCTGCCGTCGCTCCCGTCCGTTCGGCCGGCCGGCGTCCACAATTGCTTGTGGATGCTCTAGAGGCTAAAGTTTATATCTGATTGACTTTAAATTTATATACAGTGTTCAAGGCCATGAGACGAAGAAGCGTATTGATTTTCAGCGATTACCAATAATTACTGCCAGAGTTGTGGCCCTTGATCACTTCAAAAAATCTTGTGGACTCTCAAGAGGCTAAAGTTCATATCCGATTGACTTTAAAATTATACACAGTGTTTAAGGTCATGAGGCGAAGAAACCTATTGATTTTCAGCGATTTCCGATAATTATTGCCAGAGTTATGGCCATTGATCACTTCAAAATATCTTGTGGACGCTCTAGAGGCCAAAGTTAATATCTGATTGACTTTAAATTTATACACAGTGTTTAAAGTCACGAGACGAAGAAGTCTATTCATTTTCAGTGATTTTCGATAATTACTGCCAGAGTTATGGCCCTTGATCACTTCAAAAAATCTTGTGGACGCTCTAGAGACCAAAGTTAATATCCGATTGACTTTAAACTTATACACAGTGCTTAAGGTCATGAGACGAAGAAGCCTATTGATTTTCAGCAATTTACGATAATTACTGCCAGAGTTATGGCCCTTGATCACTTTGAAAAATCTTGTGGACGCTCTGGAGGCTAAAGTTAATATCCGATTGACTTTAAATTTATACACAGTGTTTAAGGTCAAGGGACGAAGAAGTCTATTCATTTTCAGTGATTTTCCATAATTAATGCCAGATTTATGGCCCTTGATCACTTCAAAAAATCTTGTATATGCTCTAGAGGCTAAAGTTAAGATCTGATTGACTTTAAATTTATACACAGTGTTTGAGGTCATGAGACAAAAAATTCTATTGATTTTCAAAGATTTCCGATAATTACTGCCAGAGTTATGGCCCTTGATCACTTTTAAAAATCTTGTGGATGTTCTAGAGGCTAAAGTTAATATCCGATTAACTTCAGATTGATACACACAGAGTTTAAGATCTTGATACGAACAAGTAAATTTTGATGACTTGAACAGCTAAATCCATGATGTTAAAAGTTTTGTATACTATGCGTAAACATGGGGCAGAACTTTATAAAAACTAAACAAATTCTAATGTTTTCTGATAATTACTTCATGAGTTGTTACTCTTAATCAGATTTTAGTGTATTATAAATGTTTCATTACCGAAAAAAGTAAAAATATCCCACAAAAGCTGCTGTGGGCGTATGTTTCGTTGCCTGACAACCTATCTTTTACATTGTGGTATTTTATACAAGTTAATTTCTCAAACTTGTCCTTAAAATTTAGGTTATTCTTATGGATACACGGTAAATTTTCAACCTGATAAGTATTTATATCCGATAGTGATGAATTTCTCCAGTTTAGAATTTTGAAATTTCCAAATGCAGCAGTAGAAAATTGTGAAATGATAGATTTCAATATTTTCGTAGTTTTTGTAAGCATTTTGGTTTTGCTTAATAATCCAAATTCCTGTATGTAGGAATGATTTTAAAATTATGAAAATAAAGTTCAGGTGTAATATTGTCCAAAATGATGATTAATTGTGCAGAAGTAAAAATTAAAAAATTTTTTAGTAGGTTTGTTTTCAACGAAAACTCAAAGTATTTTTGTCAGATCCACATGGGTGTGTCTGAAGTGCGAAGTAAACAAAGACGTTGTTTAATACATTTACACTCTATTCATCAGTAATCTATGTATGTGTTGAAAAAAAGAGTAGCAAGATTAATAAAAATATTATGACTTGATTTCTTTTTCTTTGCCGTTAAACTTAATACAGGTAATTGCCACCACATTGGATCCAAGATGGCAGCCGTCATTGCATTATGTCGGAACCTGTTTTTATACGCCCACATTTTCATGTGGACGTATTATGCCGTCGCCCCTGTCCGTCCGGTCGTCCGTCCACAATTGTTTGTGGACTCTCTACAGGTCACAATTCTTATCCGATTTTGACGAAACTTGAAATATAGGTTTATCCCCAAAAGATCTCGGCTGCTTTCGATATTGGCATGTATCGGGTCGAAACTTCTTGGATTATGGCCCCTGATTGTACGAAAAATCACATTTTTAGTTTGTGGACCCTATAGAGGTCACAATTTTTATCCGATTTTTTTGAAACTTGAAATATAAGTTTATAACCCAAAGATCTCGGTTCCTTTCCATATTCGCGCATGTCGGACCGTAACTTCCAGAATTATGGCCCCTGATTGTACAAAAAATCGTGTTTTTAGCTTGTGGACCCTATAGAGGTCATAATTTTTATCCGATTTAAAAAAAACGTATTATTATATCACCGTTACACCCTAAGGATGGCTGAGTTCAAATTTCGTGAATATCGGCCCAAAATTGACAAACAAAATGGCCGCCGTTTGTTCTCAAATAGCGTAAAAATATGGTATATCAAGGTTGTGGACCCTATAGAGGTCACAATTTTTATCCGATTTTGTTGAAACTTGAAATGTAAGTTTATAACCCAAAGATCTCGGTTCCTTTCGATATTTGCGCATATTGGACCGTAACTTCATGAATTATGGCTCCTGATTGTACGAAAAATCGCGTTTTTAGCTTGTTGACCCTATAGAGGTCATAATTTTTATCCGATTTAAAAAAACGTATTATTATATCCCCGTTACACCCTAAGGACGACTGAGTTCGAATTTCGTGAAAATCGGCCCAAAATTGACAGACAAAATGGCCGCCGTTCGTTCTCAAATAGTGTAAAAATATGGTATATCAAGGTTGTGAACCCTATAGAGGTCACAATTTTTATCCGATTTTGTTGAAACTTGAAATGTAAGTTTATAACCCAAAGATCTCGGTTCCTTTCGATATTTGCGTATATCAGACCTTAACTTCCTGAATTATGGCCCCTGATTGTACGAAAAATCACGTTTTTAGCTTGTGGACCCTATAGAGGTCATAATTTTTATCCGATTTAAAAAACTGTATTATTATATCACCGTTACACCCTAAGGACGGCCGAGTTCGAATTTCGTGAAAATCGGCCCAAAATTGACAGACAAAATGGCCGCCGTTCGTTCTCAAATAGTGTAAAAATATGGTATATCAAGGTTGTGAACCCTATAGAGGTCACAATTTTTATCCGATTTTGTTGAAACTTGAAATGTAAGTTTATAACCCAAAGATCTCGGTTCCTTTCGATATTTGCGTATATCAGACCTTAACTTCCTGAATTATGGCCCCTGATTGTACGAAAAATCACGTTTTTAGCTTGTGGACCCTATAGAGGTCATAATTTTTATCCGATTTAAAAAAACGTATTATTATATCACCGTTACACCCTAAGGACGGCCGAGTTCGAATTTCGTGAAAATCGGCCCAAAATTGACAGACAAAATGGCCGCCGTTAATTCTCAAATAGCGTAAAAATATGGTATATCAAGGTTGTGGACCCTATAGAGGTCACAATTTTTATCTGATTTTGTTGAAACTTGAAATGTAAGTTTATAACCCAAAGATCTTGGTTCCTTTCGATATTTGCGCATATCGGACCGTAACTTCCTGATTTATGGCCCCTGATTGTACGAAAATACACGTTTTTAGCTTGTGGACCCTATAGGTCATAATTTTTATCCGATTTAAAAAAACATATTATTATATCACCGTTACACCCTAAAAACGGCTGAGTTCGAATTTCGTGAAAATCGGCCCAAAACAGACAGACAAAATGGTCGCCCTTTGTTCTCAAATAGCTTAAAAATATGGTATATCAAGGTTGTGGACCCTATAGAGGTCACAATTTTTATCCAATTTTGTTGAAACTTGAAATGTAAGTTTATAACCCAAAGTTCTCGGTTCCTTTCGATATTCGCCCATATCGGACCGTAACTTCCTGAATTATGGCCCCTGATTGTACGAAAAATCATGTTTTTAGCTTGTGGACCCATTAGAGGTCATAATTTTTATCCGATTTAAAAAAATGTATTATTATATTACCGTTCCACCCTAAGGACAGTTGAGTTTGAATTTTGTGAAAATCGCCCCAAAATTGACAGACAAAATGGACGCTGTTCGGTCTCAATTAGCGTAAAAATATGGTATATCAAGGTTGTGGACCCTATAGAGGTCACAATTTTTATCCGATTTTGTTGAAACTTGAAATGTAAGTTTATAACCCAAAGATTTCAGTTCCTTTCGATATTTGCGCATATCGAATTGTAATTTCCTGAATTATGGCCGTTGATTGTAGGAAAAATCACTTTCTTTTTAGCTTGTTCTCTATCCATCTCTCGAAAATATGGGCGTATTCTGCCTGGCAGCCGCTGGTCATTACTGTAATTGATCTTGATCATGTCCATAATGATTTTACGCTTTCTATGTTAATAAGTGACAATTCTGACAATGCACTGAAATTAGATTTCTTTTATATTATTGACATTATATTTAAGCATTTATTTCATTTTATATAGGTTTAGAAGGAAGTGATTATGGTGGAAGTCACAGTGGTCATGGACATAATTGTGGTGGTGATGGCCATAGTCATGGAGATGGTCATAGCCATGGTAGTGATGACCATGGTCATGGGAGAAGTGATAATGGACACAGTCATGGAGAAAGAAAGCCCAATGCTGCTCAGGCTCAGATCATGCAAGGTAAATATTTGCCTGGTATATAATTGTACTACAACATTAATGCTCTTCGAATATGCAATCCAATATGATATATTTCATTTAAGAAAACTGTATTTTATAGTTAGAAAACATATTAAATTATGATTGCCGAACCCAAATTATAAGATGAGATCATTTGTCCCTAACCTTATTCCAGTATGTTCATTGAAGATTTAATTTTAAATAAACTGTATTTTTAGGTGTATTTTTACATATATTAGCAGACACTTTAGGTAGTGTTGGAGTTATTGTTTCATCTTGTTTAATACATTATTTTGGCTGGATGATTGCAGATCCAATATGCTCTATGTTTATTGCTGTTTTGATAGGTATAAGGTATGTACTTTGATTATTACTTTGAGAAGACAAATATGATCAATATTCAACATTCCGCGACGCTCTGTTTCTTTGACCACACATGGGGAAAAAAGACAATATAACCGTTTATAATTGACATGCGTGGCAATACCGCGATAGAACAGTTATTTATTAATGTGACCATCCGAGGATGCACATTATGTTTTAATACCGACAAATTGGGATTTTGCGTATGGTGAACACTAACAACCGAGTACACATCACACACACTCATATTCGAGGATGTTATAAGTGTATACCAATGCGGTGTGTAAAAAAACTCTAATGCTCGTTTGTTGTAACATTACAGCAAACGATAATCCCAAAATGGATTCTCATTTAATTATTTACAAGCTGTTACTAACTTTTAAAAACACTATCGTGAATCTTCAAGATATGACCATGAATTTCCAAGGCACTAACTTGACCTGTAAGAAACATTTTACATGTGAATATCGCCCTTTGATTGAAGATAAAGATTTAGATAAAACTAATTTTCTTGAAAAGTCAAGTTGACATTTTGAAAAGTCAAGCTAATCTTGAAAGCAAACTGTTTAAGATTATTTGTGCTTTTACACTAACATTTTTATACGCCCAGATTTTCATGTGAACGTATATTGTCGTCGCCCCTGTCCGTCAGGACGTCCGTATGTCTGGACGTCCGTCCACATTGTTTGTGGACTCTCTACAGGTCACAATTCTTATTTGATTTTGACGAAACTTTAAATATAGGTTTATCCCCAAAAGATCTCGGCTGCTTTCGACATTGGCATGTATCGGATCGAAACTTCATGGATTATGGCCCCTGTTTGTACGAAAAATCACGTTTTTAGCTTGTGGACTCTATAGAGGTCACAATTTTTATCCGATTTTGTTGAAACTTGAAATGTAAGTTGAATATCGGACCGTAACTTCCTGAATTATGGCCCCTGATTGTACCAAAAATTGTGTTTTTAGCTTGTGTACCCTATAGAGGTCATAATTTTTATCCGATTTAAAAAAACTTTCTATTATATCACCGTTACACCCTAAGGATGGCTGAGTTTGAATTTCGTGAAAATCGGCCAGAAATTGACAGACAAAATGGCCTCCGTTCGTTCTCAAATAGCGTAAAAATATGGTATATCAATGTTGTGGACACTATAGAGGTCACAATTTTTATCCGATTTTGTTGAAACTTGAAATCTAAGTTTATAATCCAAAGATCTCGGTTCCTTTCGATATTCGCGCATATCGGACCGTAACTTCCTGAATTATGGCCCCTGATTGTACCAAAAATCGCGTTTTTAGCTTGTTGACCCTATAGAGGTCATAATTTTTATCCGATTTAAAAAAACCTATTATTATATCACCGTTAAACCCTAACGATGGCTGAGTTCGAATTTCGTGAAAATCGGCCCAAAATTGACAGACAAAATGGCCGCCGTTCGTTCTCAAATAGCGTAAAAATATGGTATATCAAGGTTGTGGACCCTATAGAGGTCACAATTTTCATCCGATTTTGTTGAAACTTGAAATGTAAGTTTATAACCCAAAGATCTTGGTTCCTTTCGATATTTGCGCATATCGAATTGTAATTTCCTAAATTATGGCCCTTGATTGTAGGAAAAATCCCATTTTTAAGAGGTCATAATTTGTAACCGATTTAAAAAAAATGTTTTAGTATATCACCTTTACACACTAAGGACAGCTGCGTTCGAATTTCGTGAAAATCGTCACAAAAATGGTGTTCTCAAATAGCGAAAAAATATGGTATATCAAGGTTGTGGACCCTATAGAGGTCACAATTTTTATCCAATTTTCTTGAAACTTAAAATGTATGTTTATAACCCAAAGATCTTGGTTCCTTCCGATATTTGCGCATATCGAATTGTAATTTCCTGAATTATGGCCCTTGATTGTAGGAAAAATCACTTTCTTTTTAGCTTGTTCTCTATCCATCTCTCGAAAATGTGTGCTGTCCTGCCTGGCAGCCGCTTGTTGTAATTGTTGTCGCCTCCGTCTGTGCGGCATCCACAATTGCTTGTGGAAGCTCTAGAGGCTAAAGTTAATATCCGATTGACTTTAAATTTATATACAGTCTTTAAGGCCATGAGACGAAGAAGCCTGTAGATTTTCAGCGATTTGCGATAATTACTGCCAGAGTTATGACCCTTGATCACTTCAGAAAATGTTGTGGACACTCTCTAGAGGCCAAAGTTAATATCCGATTGACTTAAAATTTATACGCAGTGTTTAATGTCATGAGATGAAGAAGCCTTTTGATTTTCAGCAATTTTAAAATATCTTGTGGATGCTCTAGATACTAAATTTATCATCTGATTGACTTCAGATTGATACACAGAGTTTAAGGTCTGGAGACAAATAAGTATATTGATTTCAATGAATTTTGATAACTTAAACAGCTAAATCCATGATATTAAATGTTTCTTATAAAAAACATTAGCATGGGGCAGAACTTTATAAAAACCAAACAAAATCTAATGATTTTTTGATAATTACTTAATGAGTTGTTACTCTTAATCAGATTTTAGTGTATTATAAATGTTTCATTCATTACCGAAAAAAAGTAAAATATGCGACAACTCTTGTTGACTGCCAGGACGATTCAGCTGCTGTGGGCGTATGTTTCGTTGCCTGGCAACCTATCTTTATTTTTGTTTGATAATTTATATAACATTTGAGGCCAAAAGAAAGACCTGCAATTGCGAGATTTAGCTCTTACATAATGCATCTTTATAAGGTTCATAAAAATTTTGAATCTGTAACTTGGTTGTCACATTAATAACTTAAGCATTTGATTTGTTTTGTTAAAATATATTTTCAGTGTTCTTCCACTGTTAAGAGATTCTATAGGAGTTTTAATGCAGCGTACACCTCGAGTACTTGATAATATATTACCTGGATGTTATACACGTGTAAGTTTATATTTTAAATCTCCACGATGAGCATAAAACATAGAAACAGTCTTGTGTAACTGATATCTATATTTTTGTATGCCCAAATTTACATGTGAACGTATTATGCTGTCGCCCCTGTCCGTCCAGACGTCTGTCCAAAATTTGTTAGTGGACACAGTACAGGTCACAATTTTTATCCGATTTTGATGAAACTTGAAATATAAGTTTATATCCCAAAATTCTCCGATCTGTATAATATTATCATGTATCGGACCATAACTTCATGGATCATGGCACCTGATTGTACGAAAAATCTTTTTTTTTATCTTGTGGACACTCTAAGAGGTCACAATTTTCATCCGATTTTGATGAAACTTGAAATGCATGTTTATAACCCAAAGATCTTGGTGTCTTTCAATATTCCTGAATTATGGCAACTGATTGTTTCGAAAAATCGTGTTTTTAGTTTGTGGTCCCTCTAGAGTTCACAATTATTACCCGATTTAAAAGACCGTTTAAATATGTCACCGTTTCACCATAATGAAAGTTGAGTTTGAATTTTGGAAAAATCAAAACGAAACTACCTGACAAAATGGCCACTCTTTGTACTTAAATCGTGTAAAGGTATGTAATAGGAAGGTTGTGGATCCTCTAGATGTCACAGTTTTTATCTGATTTTGATGAAACTTAACATATATCATCGTAATGTCGGTTGAGTTCAAATTTTGTGAAAATTGAACCAAAAATATGGTATATCAAGGTTGTGCACCTCTAGGGGTTACAATTTTTATAGTCCAGTCAATTTATGAAAAAAAGGGGGTCAACCCCCCAAAAATTGCAAGAAAAGGTTTTTTGATGGTTTTTGGTTACATTGGGAGTACTGAATGACATCCTAATAGTTTACCAAAATTGGAGTACTGGAAAGTCCCAAATTTTGAGGGTAACGTTCAGGTTTTTAAGCGATTTTCCATTAAAAGGTACAACTTCAGACATATATCACCAACACAGTGTTTAAAATTTACGTCGGTCCGTCGGCCCAGCGCCGATAAATAACTTGGCGGGCCGACATCTTCTTGTCGAGAAGAATATGTGTCATGGATATTTTGTTCACGGTTCTATCAAATTCTCCTTTGAAAATATTAATATTGTCCCTATTTATATCCGTAATATATTTCATCCAGATATTTAACTGTATTTCATTATCGGAAATGAAAACAAAATTGTCCACCGAAAGAAATTATCGTTGTAGGAGTGAGGTCGTGCTTGCAAATGTCAGCACGCTCCCAGAGTTCGGCAGAATATTATTTAACCATTTTGATCAAGTGTGGAAAAGATGAGTGTGTGTTCCGATAGTATGCCTTACTTACTGTCCTATTTGTCTTCATCCGAAATTGAATACACATGCATAATTCGACATATCCATATTCCTTCAATGGAGAGATCCAAACACGTATGCTACTTAACTAGGTCAGTCCATCTACAGTACTGTTATGAATCCAAGAATAAATATTCATGTGATATAGATTCTTTTGTCTTGTAAAAAATGAAATTGAAAAAGCAGAGATGAAAATTCCCTGAAATTCTAACTATCGGTAACAATATAATTCCATTGAGGTAAAAACGAGTGGCCTTTCCCGCCATTCTTTCTAACTCTCATGATTTAATAGCAGACTTGATTATCAAGTCTATTTCTTTAATGACGATTTCACTACCGTAATGTAATTGAGACCCAAGTCTTTGAAAACAGGCACGTACAATATATCATATAGAAAGAATAACAAAGAGTTTATGGTTTCATAAATATGGACTATCCCAACATTTGACATCAGGTCAGTTTAATAATGATAAAAAATGACGTGTCATCTGCCAAACAGCACTGATAGTTTACTTTCATTTTAAAAGAGGTCACGGTCTTTCAATTCACAGTTCCACACGTCATGATGAATGAAACAAATAAAATGATTGTTGCTACCTGACAGTAAATTTAACAAGTTTATTGAAATGTAAGACATATTAATCTATGTCTGGTAGGACCTTAACCCCAGTTTTATTTCATTTCATTTAAATGCCCAATATTTTCTGTTAATTCTTGGAGAGTGTAAAGGGCCATTTTAATCCGTAATCTTCAGATTTCTATGTGAATGGAATTTCAAGCTATATTGTCAGTACTAATAGACCTATATATAACCATTAAGATTAATACAACTACAAGTAAATATTTATTTATTACAGAAAAAATAAATATCAAGCCTGGGGTAAAATAGGGGTGGAATGATTTTTATCTTTCTATACACCAAGTATTAACATTAAATCCTTCAAAAGTTAAACTTGTAATGTGTACAGTCAATCAATATTGAATACATATTTTAACTTTTAAACCTGTCCCAAATGGCTGTAGAAGACACCTACGGAACATAGAACTTCAAGGCATTTGGTGTGGGGTAGTGTACGTGTGTTCTGTTAATATTTATTGGGCCCACAACTTAATGTTAGGACCTACAACTTTCATGAATGGTGTCTACCAGCGGGTCCTATTGGCCTACAACTTTTCTTGACGAATTTTATACACTGCACCAACATGTTCGGGGCTATGCTTTGTTTCAATATGCACCCAGGTGATACATATGGATGAGTGGGGGTGGGTGTAGTTCATTACTGATGGGCAGTATTCTGGTGAAGGTGGTCACTGTGCATTAAAAGTCCAATTCCAAATACATGTAGGGGCCTTTTAAAGAAACTAATTTGCATACAGACACTACAGGAAAGGCGAAGTCGACAATGTAAAATCTGATTTTTATACGGCCACATTGAAATGTGGTCGTATATTGTCATCGCCCCCGTCCGTTCGGCGAGGTTAAAGTTAATATCGGATTACTGCTAGAGTTATGGCCCTTAATCACTTCAAAAAATCTTGTGGATGCTCTAGAGGTCAAAGTTAATATATGGTTAAGGTCATGCGACAATGAAGTCTATTCATTTTCAGCGATTTCCGATAATTACTACCAGAGTTATGGCCCTTGTTCACTTCAAAAAATCTTGTGGACCCTCTAGATTTAGATGGCTAGAAAATAAATTATGGTGCGCCGAAAATCTAGTATATGACGTGAGTCCAAAAGTAAAAGCATTGAAATAATATAAGTGGTCCAAAAAGAGCCTCAATCTTGAAAAAAAGTTGAAAAATCCTTAAATTACTGAAAACGCTCTTCTATTTTTCTTTCTTTGGAAAACAGCTGAATGGATTTTTTTTTAAACTTCTTGTACAGAAGGTTATGTAACCAAACAACTTGTCAAAATTATCCCGACAATCATCCAAAAACCGGAAGTAGTCGAAAACTTCTCTTATTTCCTTTCTTAAACTTCTGTTACTTAGAGTCCTAACGATGGTCTAGGGTGTGAATCCAAATTTAAAAGCCTCAATATAGTATAAATGGTCCAAAAAAGGCCACAATCTTTGAAAAAAGTTGTATATTTTCAAAATTTTCAAATTTGACCTACATTTTTGGATATCTGAAGGAAATTCCGATTCCAGTAATATAACTTTCATTCATAGTTATCACCCTTTATTTTTCGAATTTTCTGCCCATTTTGTGAGTCTGAGTTTCATTTTACGGCCGAAGCGACGTTTCTGAAACTTCTGGAACATGAAGTTATAGTCCATAACCAACTGAAAGCTATTTCAACAAAGTTTCCTTAAACACGGAAGTGGTCTAAAAAATGTCCGATATTTTGAAGAAAACGCAAAAAAATGGGTGCTTTTGGGAAAAACGTGATTTCTCAACCCGATATCAACGGATTAAAGAAATTAAGGTATTGTTGGGTGGCCGGGGGATTTGACTGTCATATGATACCCAATTCACACGAGTGCTATGACAGGGCAGCAAAATATGACATGCTGAAAATCAAGTATTTTCTGATTTGGAGTGTTTTTGGATGCCTATATCTTGAAACTACTCCAAGGATTTTTCTTAAACTTTCCCTATTGAGAGTCCCTCCGGTAGTCGTGTGCATGAATCCATCCAATAAGACTTTGAAATGTCTGGAATGGGTAAAATAACGGACTGAAAATCGATAAAAGTTGAAAAATCGTCAAAGTTTAGAAAATGCTCTATTATTTCTTTATTTTAACTGATTTAAAAAAAAAAGTTATACATTCAGATAGCTGTCCTAAATTCGATTCTAACCATGTATAATATGTATTGAGTTATTGAAATTTAATTTTCGATATTTTGACATTTTGATATTTTTGACACTTTTGAACATAGGATTTCTCAGGGGGGGGATATTTTATCTGATCAGATATTGTAGTATATAATAATAGAGCCCTGCTACCATTCAAGTTCCTAAACCGGTTGTTAAAACTATCTTGACAATGATTCGTATACCGGAAGTACAAAAAATTTTGCGCTCTTGCCAAAAACCTGAATTCTTCGTCAGATATTAGCGGATCGAAACAATTAAAGTGACTTTGGATAGTCCCATGAAAGGACTATCTTATGGCATCTAAATGATACGAAATCGATGGTTAGGAAATAAATGATGGTACGCAGAAAATCTAGTATTTTCTGTTTTGGACCTTACGGCTAGCCCCCGAATCCATTCACCTTTTTTTTAAATTGTCTGTATGTTTGTGTTTTCCTGAGTATGATGTCCTGTTCGTGTACTTGTTTGGGGTGTTCCCACTTAGCCGGCAGGCTTTGATTTCAAATTTTGCCGCTAATCCAGAGTTAATCCTAGAACAATGGTGTTATAAACTATATATAGTCCATATCTTTTTTAAGACTAAAACTGTATTGATTTTGACAAATTTAACTTTTATTAAATAACATTAAATAGCTTACACATATAAAAATATATTGATTTTAACAAATTTAATATTTATTGAATAACATTAAATGATTTACACATATAAAAATGCATTACAATTTACACATTTAACTTTTATTAAATAGCATATTGGAGATAAAGCGAATATTAACCTGAACGTTTGCCATTTTAAAATAAATATAATTTCGACACAG